GGTCCGAGCACACCAGTGCAAGGACCCTATTGTATCCGTTTTGATCATTATTATTATTATTTATTGTTATTATTATTATTTATCATTGTTTGTTATTATTTTATTGACTTCGGAAACGCGATTTTGAGGGCCCAAGCATGCTCCGCAACTCACCAACATCGCCACGCACATCAGGACTGGCGAAAAATTTGATATTTTAATGGACTTGGACATGTCACTGCCAAAATGGCTCCACAGCGCCACCTTGAAAATTTCGGCGGAGTCCTATCGGAAGCATGTATGACCTACAGCTACGCAATTTGGGAGGCATATAGAGCTCGTCGGCACAAATAAAAATATCTCGCTGCTCCAAGGTCTAAAACGCAACACGGCTCAACTGCGCCCCCTACAATATTTCAACAGAGTCCCATTGTGGCTACGTTTCACCTACAACTACGACATTTGCCACACATGTGTAACAACTCGTGACGCACAAAACAGTCCATTGGCATGTTTCTGTAAAACCAACAGGAAATTCGCCATGTTGGAAAAACGGCGAGCATGCCGGGCCATTTTTGGCCATTTTTCTACTCATTTAATTATTATTTTATTTTAAAGTTTTTGCAGCCAGATTTTCTTTCTTTTTTTCTTTTAGACTTTTAATCTACCATTTTATTCTTTTTTTTTCTGGGAACAAATATGTGAGATTTTCTGTTAATATTCTTATTATTATATATATTTTTTTTTTTACAGTTTCTGCTTCCTGGTTTTCTGCATTTTTCCCTTTTATTCTTTAAACATTTTTTTTAAATGAACCATTTTAATGTATTTTTCTGATAACATGGGTGCCAAATTTTCACGTTTTTTAAAAAAATGTATTTTATTTATTTTTCTTTAATTTTACATGTTTTGAACATCAGAGTATTGCTGTCACATTTTTTTTTGCATCTTTTCCTGTTTTTTTGCTATTATTATTTTATTTTAAAGTTTTGCTGCCTGATTTTTTAATTTTTCTGCTTTTTTCTTATTTATTTATTTAATATTCAAGGTCATGAATTTTTTTTCTAGCAGCAACGGTGCCAGAATGTCAAAGTTTTTATTTTTATTTGGAATTATTTTATTTTGCTGACTTTCTACATTTTGTCCTCTGTTTTCTTTTCTTCCTCTTTTCTTTACTCAGGGCAGTGTGGAGTCACATCTGAAGGATTTTAAAGCTGGAAATAAGCTTTTTATTTTATTAGAGTAATAAAGTATTTTAATTATCAAACCTCCACAAAGTGAAAACAGAAGATTAGTTTTTGTTTTTTTTAAAATCAAGCCCTACAGGATTCATATAAAGTTGTATAAATAAGTATTTTTCTCAGTATATTTCAATACAAAGTCCATTATGAGTCACATTTTCTCGTGATTCTGTTAATAAAGGAACAAAAACGACACAGGAGACTGGGCCTTCATCATAACTAACTTTATTTATAATGTAAAAGATCAAAGGCGAGTTTAAAACCATCGCTGATTGTCAATAAATACACCGATACAGAAAACATGTTAAAACCAGAAAACTTTCTCAGACCAATCAGAGTGAAGGCTCAGGTGTCGGACTTGCTCTGCAGCACCTGAACGCATCGCAGCAGCTGCTGAAGTGCTGCTGGTCAGGTCAGCTTCACATCTTCTCTGCTGGAAGCGCTTTGACCTTCGACCTCTTCCTTCGGGCCCTGCGGTTCTTAAACCAAACCTGTGAAGAGAAGAAAGAGTTTCATGAGGTTGGAGCAAAACGTTTTAACTCTGAAGAACCAAATGCAGCAGAAATATGGAGACGTTTGAGGAAACACTGACTGCTGGAGGCTGAAGCAGAGATCTGAAGCACAGACACTGATTCATATGCAAAACCTTTGATGTGATGGTCACTGAACAATGAGACAACACAAAGGAAACTGACCCGCTCTACAGGTGGAGGCTGATAAGCTCCCTGATTGGTCTGTGCCACGTGCGTAAATGTGGAGGATTGGCGCCTCTGCTCAGTCAATCAAACGTTAAATACCGCATAAGAATGTGGATTTAATCAAAGCAAACACTTAATTTAAAAGAGGTTTGTTGCCTTTAACAAATCATCAAACGTGTTTTTATGAAAAGAAACGCTTCATGTTAAAGAACAAACTCAGTGAATCTGTGCGTAAAAATGGACATTTGGCACATATAGTTAATGATAAAACGCGTAATTCAACTTCATAACTTGTATTTTATAAAGGAAACGCTTCATGAGAAATGGTGAATCAGTGCGTAAATAAAAAAACAAAACGTTAAGTACGACCTCAAATGTTGTATTTTAGAAAAAGAAACTGGTTTAAAGTCTGTGCGTAAAAATGCAGCTTTTGGTTTTGGCACTTTAAGTTTAACAATAAAACGTTAAATACTACTTCAGAATTTCTGCTTTATGAGGTTAAAGCTTCACTTTCACTGGAAAACTTTGCTGTCGGTGCGTAAAATGGAACCTTTTACGCAGCTTGGAAGCGGTTTTACGCAGCGCCTTTTCTCCGCCTGAACCCTCGTGTCCGACTCACCCTGACGGTCTCCTCGCTCACTCCGGTGTTCCTCGCCACCTCGGCGCGCGCCTCCACCGTCGGGTAGTCGGTGAGCTCGAACAGCGCCTCGAGCTGCTTGATCTGACCGTCGGTGAACACCGTCCTCGTCCGGGCCTTCGGACGCGGCAGCGGCGGCGCGGAGACTCCGGCCTGCTGGAAGCCGCCGCAGAGCGTCACCGGCTGAACATCTGAGGGAAATAAAAGTCATAAAACAGTTTTTTGATTTGCTGCAACTAAAACAGAAAAAGAATGAAGCTGAATTCACAGTTTTTGAACTTAAAGTAACAAAAACAGAGTAACTTAATCCCGATTTAAATCCAAAATCAGCTTTAAAACAGTGAAAACTTGAACTCATTGAGGTTTAAACTTTAAAATAATTATAAAAAGTAAAGTTTGTGTGTTTCTGACCTGCAGGTTCGTGGCTGAAGCCCACGTAAATCCCGGTGAAGTCTGAGCGATGGAAACCGGCTCCGTACGGATAAAACGCGTCTCCAAAGCTCACCGCTCGGTACGGCAGGCAGCCCGGCACCAGAACCGGCACCGGCACTGGGACTGGCACTGGCACCGGCGCAGGAGGCCTGAGCAGATGCGGCTCCGGGGAGAGCTGCTTGGAGAGGATGCGCTCGATGCTGAAGTTCGACACTCTGGTTCCGTCCATGTTGGCAGTCCGCTGCTGAGTCCGGATCGATCAGAAACTGGAGCCCTTTAACATGTGAACGTGATTGTTGAAGCCGAGCAGAACCTTTGATGTCCGTCCGGGTCCGTTTCATCTGCGCTCAGGTGTGAATGGACCTGCAGACGTCTTCAGAAGTTCTTCATCCTTCAAACGAGCTTCTGATCCTGAGCTCAGCTGTTTGGACTCTGATTGTTCTCGTTTGATGCAGTTTTTAAAACAAGAATTTAAACCAAAACTTAAAACTTTTTATTGTTTTATTAAGTTCTTTTACTCTAAATGTGTGTTTTTTGGATTAAAACTGGAACCTTTGATCAATAAAATCTCTGTTTTGTCTAAACTACATAAAACATCCATGATATTTATATTTATGTTTATA